TAAAATTACAAGTTCTTTTACTTGAAAAGACTTAAAACTTTAGTCCAATTCTCTCATTTTTCAGATGAAGACCCCAAGACTCAGAGGAAGAAATAGAACCGACAAGGTAACAGTTAATTAGCAGAGCTGTTACCCAAGTGCACTAATACCCTCATATAGTGCTCATTCTGAATCTCATATATAATGTACTATATACATTTAATTTGTACCTGGGTAGAGAAATTAAATCTTTCCTTAATTTTTCAGTTGCTAGTGGCTCCCTCTGGTATTTTTCCTAAGTGTACAAGTGAGATCTCTGCTAAGAATCTTTAGTCCTGGGGATCAATAATCCTTTCCTACTTGGACACTGGTTATGCCTTATTGAAAAACTTCATGCCCTAAATCTAATAGTTACAAAAGGTGGAGCTAAACAATATAGGTGAGTCAAAAGAAAATTTGAGCTACCATGTTTGCCACCTTTCAGACTTACATCTTTGTGAAGACGGATTTCCTGACTAAAACCTACACTATTCTTTCCCTTTTCTAAACTTCTATTTTAATTATAGTTCAACCTCAGAAAGGTAAACATTTACATGTTCCCCAATTATCTGCAGTGTCTCCCTAACTGAGTAACATGAGCAGGAATCAGATCTTAGATTTCAAAATATTTTTAACTTTGAATAAGGACTCAATAAATAATTGTTGATATACAAAGTTGAGGAAGTAGAATTTTATAAAAGATTTTAAAACATACACATACAGGGTTCAATAATCTGGTATGGATGGACACAGAAAAGATAACTGTATCTTTTCTGAAAAATGGTTGAAGATAAAATTCTTTTTTATCCTTTCCATTTATTCTTGGCAAATAATGCCACACAGTTATTCTCCTTTCACATTTTCATCAGTGCATCATTTTTAAAAGCAATTAGTAATAAGCCGTTCAAAATAATGGCATAAGTAAGAATTTATAGGCGTAGTGCAAATCCCACAAAACTTTATCTCAACTACTCCCCTTAGATTTAAGGAAACAAAACTAAATGATAATTTACACAGCAAAACAATGAATGGGAAGATAATCTTTTGGGTAAACTGATTCCCCTGTTGTAGGAGAATATAGTATGAAAGTTAAAATAACACGGACTCTGGGTTCCAATTCTGATTTGCGACTTACTGTGACATCCTGAACGAGTTCTCTACACTTGTTTTCTTCCTTATCTATCAAATGGGGAAAATATACATTTTATAGGGTTTTTAGAAAGATTAAAGGAGAAAATGCACCTAAAGTACCTAAAGCACATGCCAGTTACTTAAAATTAGTTCCCTGTTCTTCTCTCATTTGGCACTGTTCTTTCCCTTCCCTTCTTCCTTTCTAAATCAAATTCAAAAAAAGTATGCCTTTCACTTTCTTCCTAGTTTTCATTCCATCTCCCTGTATTTTTGTCGTCACTGCCTATTTTGTTCTTTTCCTATCTTTGAAACTCTCTTCCAAGCTGTTTCCAACACCTATAAGGAATGATTTTTAACTAACCTTACAGATCTCATTTAATCTATTCAATAAAACCTCCCCCCAAAGAGCAAAGGAACTTGCAGAAGAAATAAGACAAACTGGAAGAAGCATACTCCGTAAGTGGGTTAAGTTCTTGAGCAAGGCAATACTCCCTACTTACTCTTCCCACGTACAATCCATAAGTTCTCCCCATGGGCCTCTGTATCAAACCCAAGATAATTACACTCCTGCCTCAAAATAAAATGGAATCCTCTACCTCTCATACTCTGAACATCCCAGTTGTATCTAAGTTGGATGAATGTACCATCTTGTCTCTTACTTAAATCACTTTATATATATTTAATCATCTCACAGTATCCCAAGTCGAAAAAGTCACTTTGGTTTCTCATAAATGAATATGCAAGTGCTCAGGGAATCAAAAAGAACTACATTCTCTCATTAATGAACATGTTGTCTCATGTTCTCTGGATATGTTTCACCAAGAGAAGCTAGTAGGCAAGAGAATGAAATAGAGACCTATACGAAAAATTCTTGACTTCACATTTTTTTATCAATTGGGCTTTAGCTGTGACTTTGCTGGGAGTGGAGATGGATGCCATCAAAGCACAAAGATGAGCATACCCTTACTTCTTACCCTGTGCCTCCCTTAATTTTAGATTTTTTAACTGTCTACTACCAACAAATTTTTTACCCTCCAGTGCACGTTTGATAGAATACAGCTCTATTTCTCAAATAGCAAGTATGTTATCCAAGTTCAGAAATACAACTGAGGAATTAACATGAAAACCATGTTTCCTCAATAAATTGAAACTGCTAGTTAAGCCTCGAGAGCCTATGAAAAGACACCAAAGTGGTACTCAGTCACCAATCTAAAGAGAGAACTTTGACTCAAGGTATAAATGAAACTGTAATTATATAAATATATTTATAAATATTTATACAATTATATACTTATACATAAGCACTTACATAGACTTAGAAAAAAATGTAAGAACATTAATTCAAAAGGACTCACTGAAGAATAAACAGAATTTTCCATGATTTCCTTGAGGAGATTAATAACTCATTCTTTAAGGAGGGTCCCTCAAAATCCAACCATTAGAAACCATATTCTATAATTGTGTACTAGCAATACATAGCATCTTTTTCCCCTCAAATCCCCTAGTTGCCAAGAGAGCAATCTTAAAGTAGATGGGAACTTAAAGGTCTCTGAGCAATAGCAATTTATGTTCCTCAAGTAGAAGAATCAATCTAAATCCCCAACTGACAAAACAGGTACATTCCATATTATGATTTTACAACAAGTTAAAGTTCTGATTTTGCCACCAGAATCATTATTGCCCTTGCAGAGGACTCTATTTTAAGCTCAAAGTAAGAATTGAGCATACACTGAAACCGATATATAAACAGTATTATACAGATTCAAGATGGCCTCTTCTAAATAATACTGAAAAAACCTTTCTCTAACTACAATTTGAATGTGGCTTTTGCTGGCAGAAAAAACTCACAACATCTGAAGATTACTGGTAAGCACCACCACCACCCTTACTCATCTTTTCTTATGAATTGAGTTTAAAGATCTTCCCCTTAGAGAAGCTTTCAGTTTTGATACCTTCTGAAAGAAAACAGCATGAGGAATTATGCTCATTTAGTCACCAGAGCCTTTTAGAGTCTATTCCAACCAGGGGTAAAAAATGAATCATTATTTCTAACCAAAGGAACTTGGTTAGCAACTCTCAGCTGCATGTTTTCTTTTTCCCCAGGGACATACCTAGTATGCCTTAAAGAACATAGGGCTATCAATAACTGTAGTGGTTACAATTATAAGCCACTGTTGTGCATGATTATTGACCAGATGCCTTCTTATAGATCATCGTGGACCCAGACAATGGAGGGGTCAAAGGAACTAATATGCTGTACTGGCAAAAACAGCAAGCACCTTCCTGTTCCAGTCACCACAATATGCTCACTAAATGTCCATTCAAGGACCAGCAGGATCAATATAGTTAACAGAGTAATAATAAAGAAAACTGTCTCAGGCTAGGGCACTGAAAGCTACCCCATGCTATATATTCCACATTTAACACTCATTCTGCCAATAATAGATGTCATGGAAATAACTCTTATAGCTGGGAGGATGGGAATCCTTCGAAAAAAAATTTAAATATGATGATCAATAATGATAAGGGATGATTTTTCCATGCAAACAAAAGCCTAGATATTTTGTTATGTGATATTTCCTACATGAAGTACAAAACAAAATGTGTTAGACAATTTCTTCTCCCTACTAAAAATGGGGACTTACAAAAAAGGGAGGTTGTTTTTATTCTGAATCTAGCCATTCTTTGCCAAAGGAATCTGGGGAGTAACTAACATTTGATCCCAAAAAAGTGCCGTGCAAGAGACCGCTTATCGGAACACACATTTCCTGCTGCTAGTACTAGGAGAGGTCTTATCCTTACACTTCCATTTGGTCACCAGATTAGGTAAGAAAGAAAGAAAGAAAGTTGGCGGTAGGAGAAGAAAACAGGAGAGGAAAGAGAAAAAAGGGGGGAGAAAGAGACTGATTATAAGAGAGAACAAGAAATAAGAGAGAAGGCAGGTGACTTGTTTGCCCAACTTTGGCTCTATGGTCCTATGAGCCAAAATGCATACTTAGTGATATGGTATCTCACAGGAAAAGGGGAAAAGGAGATAGGCTGAGAGAGGTCAGGCCATGGTGTTAATTTCTTTCCTGTACAAAGACAGTCTCTTGAGGACAAAGGCCTGCCTCTTGTAACGTAATGTCATAGTCCAGATGAGATAGTTTCCTTCGAGGGAAGTTGGTGAGAAGTTCAAAACGTTCATTTGGATATCCTTTAGACTGGACATGCTTCACCAAAGCCTATGAAAAACAAGAGAAAGACAATCTGTTAGATGGAAATAAAAGGAAAGGGTATATTAATGAATGAAATATATAACTTTTTTACTATATCAGATGAGATATTAAGTGTAAGTTATTCTTTCGAAAAACCAAAGCTTGTCCTTGTGGAGGGGCCAATATAATCATTTCTATGGGGAGATGATAAATCTGTATCCAATAACTTAGGTCCATTAAGTGATACTGAAATATACAGGATCGTTACTTTAACCCCAATAAACCCAATCACAGTTTATAAAATTACTATTCTCATTTTTAAACATGTTATCAATTTTCCCTCCATCCTTTTATCATGGAAGATATGTCTTTCATTCTATCTATGACCAATCTTGCCATCTATGCACTGAATCCCTTCTTGCCTTCTCGGAAACCATACCACTACAGAATATCCCTTCTTTTACAGGTTTCTCCAACAACTCCCTCTCTATAGATGCTTTCCATCAGACTTAACATGCTCAGTCCCTCCAGTCACCTTTTTCCCTCTGACTACTGCATACTCTTCCCTCAGGCTTCACAACTAAACTTCTCAAAACACAGTGGTCTGTACTTGCTCTCCATGGTCTCATCTCCATTCCTTTCCAAACACTAGGCCAGAGAGATGATCTGAGCATTAGCGCCAGGAACCAGACTCTACTTGTATTCTAGTAACACAGTTGCAAAAATTAGCCTAATTATCTACAGCCCCAGCTAATGGCCAGGTATGCCTAACCCAAGGGGATTCATTCATAACTAAGCTAAGCTAGTCAGTCTCATTCTCTTTCCCAGCAGTTGAAAAACAGAGAGAAGGCCCAATAGCTGTGGACTTTAGATGAACAAGCCTTCAGCATCACCATGATGGACCATGTGCAAGCTGAGGAGGAAAGAAAAGCCACCAGTACACAGAAAGGAATGGTGTGAAGCGGAGAATCACAAGAGAAAGCCTACAGGCCCCACAAGAAAAACATACAGAAAAACAGCCTTGGTTCTTAGCCGCTTTGCAGTTCTAGCTACTAGGAAACCCAAGAATCCACTATACTCTTTAAGTAACCTCACTCCTTTTTCAGAAGTAATAATTTCAGTTGGGTTTCTATTCCATATCTGTATGGAATACAGGAATAGAATAGATGGAATAGAAAAGCCTTGACTGGAACACACCCTATGTGACTTGCCTAAGATAATTTGGGAAGGAAATAAACAAATTAGAATTAAGATTTCCCTTGCTTCTACTATAGGCATTTGGGGAAACAGAAAATGAAAATTAAAAATAAATAAATAAATAAATAAAAGATTCCCACCATGAAGTTTCCAACTAAAGATCAGACTAAATATCTAGGTGGGGCACTGTGGTGAAGGCCTGTAACCCTAGCACTTTGGGAGGTCAAGGCAGGAGGATCGCTTGAGCCCAGGAGTTTGACATTGCAGTGAGCTCTGATCATGCCACTGTACTCTAGTACAGACGACAGAGCAAGACCCTATCTCAGAAAACAAAACCAAACCAAAAAAACCCCACCCAACACACATTTCAAAGAATCATCAAACAATGCTCACTGGACTTACTCCAACTAGTTTCTCTTCTTTGAGCAAACACTTCCAATTAGATATACAGGTATACCAAGTTTAACTCCACTTCACTTTATTGTATTTCGCAGATGTTGCATTTTTTACAAATTGAAGGTTTGTGGCAACCTTGCATCAAGCAAGTCTACTGGTGACGTTTTTCCAACAGCATGAGCTTTACTTTGTATTTCCATGTCACATTTTGGTAATTTTCACAATATTTCAAACTTTTTCATTATTATTATAACTGTTGTGGTGATCTGTGATCAGTCATCATTGATGTACTATTATAATTGTTTTGGGGCACCACAAACCACATCCATATAAGGACAGTGAACTTAATTGATAAAATGTCTGTGTTCTGACTCCTCCACCGACCAACTGTTCCTGTCTCACTCCCTCTCCTTGGGCCTCCTTATTCCCTGAGACACAAGAATGCTGAAATTAGACCAATTAATAACCCTACAATGGCCTCTAACTGTTGAAGTGAAAGGAAGAGTTGCACATCTCTCCCTTTGAATCAAAAACTTATGATTAAGCTTAGTAAGGAAGGCATGTAGAAAGCAGAGATAGGCTAAAGGCTAGGCCTCTTGCACCAAAAAGTTAGTTAAGTTTAGTGAATGCAAAGGAAAAGTTCTTAAAGGGAATTAAAAGTGCTACTCTAGTGAACACATTGAATGGTAAGAAAGCAAAACAGCCTTATTGCTGATACAGAGAAAAGTTTTCATGGTCTGGATAGAAGATCAAACAAGCTGCAACCTTCCCGTAAGGCACAGCCTAATACAGAGCAGGGCCCTAACTTTTTTCAATTCTATGCTAACTTTCTTCAATTCTATGAAGGCTGAGAGAGGTGAGGAAGCTGCAGAAAAGTTGGAAGCTAATAGAGGTTGGTTTATGAGGTTTTAGGAGAAAAGCAATCTCCATAACATAAAGGTACAAGATCAATCAGCAAGTGCTGATGTAGAAGCTACAGCAAGTTATCTAGAAAATCTAGCTAAGATAACTGACAAAAGTAGCTATACTAAACAACATATTTTCAATGTAGATGAAACAGCTTTACATTGGAAGAAGATGCCATCTAGGACTTTCACAGCTAGAGAGGAGAACTCAATGCCTGGCTTCAAAGATTCAACGGGAATAGGCTGACCCTCTTGTTAGCAGCTAATGTAGCTGGTGATTTTCAGTTAAAGCCAATGCTCATTTACCATTCTGAAAATCTTAGTGCCCTTACAAACTATGTTAAATCTACTTTGCCTGTGCTCTCTAACTGGAACAGCAAAGCCCGGATGACAACACATCTGTTTATAGCACTATTTACTGAATATTTTAAGCCCACTGTTAAGATATTTCTTTCAAAATATTACTATTCATTGACAATGCACCTAGTCACCCAAGAGTTCTGATGAAGATGTACAAGGAGATTAATGTTGTTTACATGCCTGCTAGCACAACACCCATTCTGTAGCCCATGGATCAAGGAGTGCATTTCATCCTTCAAGTCTTATTAAGAAATACATTTTGTAAGTCTATACCTGCCGTACATGGAGATTCCTCTGATGGATCTGGGCAAAGTAAATCAAAAACCTTCTGTAAAGGATTCCCTATTCTAGATGCCATTAAGAACATTCATAATTCATAGAAAGCGGTCAAAATATCAACATTAATACAAGTTTGGAAGAAGTTGATTCCAACCCTCATGGATGACTTTGAGGAGTTCAAGACTTTAGTGGAGGAAGTAACTACAGATATGACAGAAACAGCAAGAAAACCAGAATTAGAAGTGGAGCCTGAAGATATGACTCAATTGCTACAATCTCATGATCAAACTTAAATAAGCGAGATACACTGGTGCGCACCCTGTAGTCCCAGCCACGGGTGAGGTGGGAGGATCACCTGAGCCCACAAGTTCAAGTCTAGCCTGAACAACATAGCAAGACCCCATTTAAAAATTTTTTTTTGGAGACAGGGTCTTGCTCTGTTGCCCAGGCTAGAGTGCAGTGGCGTCATCATAGCTCACTGTAACCTCAAACTCCTAGGCTCAAGTGATCTTCCTGCTTCAGCCTCCAGAGTAGCTGGGACTACAGGCATTAGCCACCACGCCCAGCTAGTTTTTCTATTTTTAGTAGAGACGGGGCTTGCTTTTGCTCAGGCTGGTCCTGAACTCCTGACCTCAAGCAATCCTCCTGCCTCAGCCTCCCAAAGTGCCAGGATTATAGGCATGAACCACCGCACCCAGCCAAGATCCCATTTCTTAAAAACACACACATATATGAAAAAAAAAACGAAAAAAAAAGATGAGGAGTTGCTTCTGATGGACAAGGAAAGAAAGTGGTTTCTTGAGATTGAATCTACTCTTAGTAAAGACACTATGAACATACTTGAAATTACAACAAAAGATTCAGAATATTACATAAAGTTAGCTGATAAAGCAGCAGCAGGGTTTGAGAGGATTAACTCTAATTTTGAAAGAAATTCTACTGTGGGTAAAATGCTATCAAACAGCATTGCATGTTGATAGAAACCGACAGAAAAATCTTTTGTGAAAAGAAGAGTCAATCAATGCAGCAAACTTGTGAACACTTTTATACACACTGGGAAACCAAAAAATTCGTGTCACTCACTTTATTGTGGTGGTCTGGAACTGAGCCACAAATTAAGGTATGTCTATACTTACTAGCAATTTAGCTTGCTCTGGAAGAGTAATCTGTTCCCTTTTTCCATCTGGATACCGCAACATCAGCTGTGCTTTTGGTCCTAAAGGAAGGATTTAAAAAAACAAAAAAACCCTCAGGAGCCTATAATAGAAGATTAATAGAAGAGTAATTTAAATAAATAAATAAAGCCATTCAGTTATATTCAAGTTTTAAGAAAAGTTTATAATGTACCTTACCATTTACATCTGCCCCCTCCACTATTCCATCTGATTTTTCAGGTGACATCTCTATTATATCTGAATCCACAGCTGATAATCCTTGGTGGTTTGTGGCTGTTCCAGGCTCAGTTCTGGCAGGGGGCTCTGTTAGTGGCCTTCTATTCTCCTCTTTTCTATGCCCCAAATCTTTATGGGGAGACTTTCTGGACTTGGCAAGATTTTCTACCTCCTCTTCTTCATCGGAGCCACAAACGGATATGAACTCCTCACTGCCAGAAAAAAGTTCAGATTCAGATTCTTCATCTGAGCGGCTATCCTGTTTTGTCTGTGTTGAATCAAAATGTGTCTCTTGCAAGGAGGCTCTGATGGCAGCTTCTAGCTGGCTGTCTTCACTTGCATCTATAAGGCTCTCCTGTGAGATGCAGTCATAAAACACAAGTGGAAAAAAAAGAAAGAAGTTAAACCAAAAAATAGTCAAGTCAAACAGGACATAAGAAATATAATAGTTTGCCACTATTATTTTCTGCTGAATGTACCTCTTCTACTCAATTTTAAGCTATTTGAGGGAAAGGACTTTGTCTTACGCAGTCAAATTGGAATAGATATATTAAAAACAAAAATAAAGGCCAGGCGCAGTGGCTCACGCCTGTAATCCTAGCACTCTGGGAGGCTGAGGCGGGCGGATCACTCAGGTGAGGAGTTCGAGACCAGCCTGAGCAAGAGCGAGACCCCGTCTCTACTAAAAATAGAAAGAAATTATCTGGACAATTAAAAATACATATATAAAAAAAAATAGCCAGGCATGGTGGCGCATGCCTGTAGTCCCAGCTACTTGGGAGGCTGAGGCAGTAGGATTGCTTGAGCCCAGGAGTTTGAGGTTTCTGTGAGCTAGGCTGAAGCCACGGCACTCTAGCCCAGCCAACAGAGTGAGACTCTGTCTCAAAAAAACAACAACAACAACAAAAAAAAACTGTCATAGCACCTAGCACATTGATGTTTCAAGCATAGGTATTTTTTTCACATCAAAATGAACAAAATCAAGAAAACGTTTTATTCCTTGCCCATAAAAAAATAAGAATTAAAAGTTTTAAAGATAATGCAAAGTCAAAATACTATTTTTTAAAATGACTAAACAACAGAGAAGAGGGTATACCTTGCTCATCATTGTATTCTTCAACTAGCACTGCTTTGGCACAAAGATGGATATAAATTTCTTAATCATTTCTCAAAAAATTTAACAGCTCTCCGACATTCAAAACAAAACACCAAACAATAAAAAGGAGACAACAGTAACTAGATTCTCTCAAGCTTAATTACAATGAAGATTTTCATTATGATAATGAAAAAGGCAAATTTCTATAGTTTCCCCCTTGGTAAAGGTTAAATGTCACAAGATTTCACCAAACTGAATGAGTCACAATATATGGGTTATTTGAGTGGAACCTATTTGGATCCTGATTCAAACATACTACAACAGAGGAATAACTTTGTAAGATAACCTAAAGCTGAACATTGGATTTCTCATGATATTAAGGAATTACTGCTAATGTTTAAGGGTATACTAATAACACTGTGATTGTGTTTTTAAAAAATAAAGTCTTTATCTTTTAAAGATACATGCCAAAGTATTAATGAATGAAGCAATGAATTCTGAGATTTGCTATCAAAATAACGTGGACATGGTGGGACATAGATCAAAGACTGGCCACCTGTTAATAATATTCAAATTAGTTAATGGGTACACACAGGCTTAATAAATTCCTTTAATTTTTGCATGTGCTTAAAATTTTCCACAATAAAAGGGTAAAAATATATGGGTTGCTAATTTGAAAAACTAAAGAAACCTCATTTTGGCTTTTACTATCTGCCAATCATACAGCAAAAAATTAAAGGAAATTTTTAAAATAAACTTAAGGCTAATTTACCACCCCCAAAAAGCAAGAAGATGTGTCCGTGTGACATGCAATGGCTTAAGTGTACTACAGTACAGTTGATTTATAACAATGACTTTGTACAACATGTTGCTTGATTTAAAGGTTGTAGCCATGAAAGACACTGCTAGGTTCCTATACAATATTCATTCTCCTCTGATTAAAATTAAGCCCAAAATTAAACAGAGGAAACAGAGGGAGGAGTTAAAAATAAAAAGGACAGAAATTAATCAATGACTTAGAAAACAGAAATACACACAATAGGGGGAAGAGAAAAAAAAAAAATCAATGAAGCTGAAAGTTGTTTTTTTTTGTTTGTTTGTTTTTTTAAGAGAAAGGGTCTTAATTGTTGCCCAGATTGGAGTGCTGTGGCTATTCACATTGCACTCCAGTGTAGTGGTGCGATCATACCACACTATATCCCTGAACTCCTAGGGTCAAGAGATTATCCTGTCTCACTCTACCAAGTAACTGGGACTACAGATGTAGGCAACCACACCAGGCTTGGTACTTTAAGATTATTAAAACTGATAAGCCCCTAGCCTGACTATCGGGGAAATAAAGAGAAGCCACAAATTACCAACAACAGGATTAAGAGAGGGGACAACTACAGTCTCTTTAGTCATTAAAGGAATAACAACAGAATATAATGAACTCTATCAATACATGAAGAAGCCAAAACAAGAGGCTACTCAGTGTAGTTTCAATTTATGTGAAATTCTAGAAAGGGCAAAACTAGTAACAGAAAGCAGAGCGCAGTGGCTCACGCCTGTGATCCTAGCTCTCTGGGAGGCCGAGGTGGGAGGATCGCTTGCGCTCAGGAGTTCAAGACCAACCTGAGCAACAGCAAGACTCTGTCTCTACTATGAAAAAAAAAATAGAAAGAAATTAACTGGACAACTAAAAATATATATAGAAAAAATTAGTTGGGCATGATGGTGCATGCCTGTAGTCCCAGCTACTCGGGAGGCTGAGGCAGGAGGATTGCTTGAGCCCATGAGTTTGAGGTTGCTGTGAGCCAGGCTGACACCACGGCACGCTAGCCTGGGCAACAGAGTGAGACTCTGTCTCAAAAAAATAAACAAATAAATAAGCAAGCCTTTTTTTTTTGGCCCTTTCCTTTTGCTCTCCCTTTACGGCAATAATAGGTCTGGTCGTCATCTGTGGTATATATGTCATGCTCTGTAAACCTGTATTTTGCTCTTGCTCTATAATCCTATCTTTCTTTCCTCAATAAACCTCATTTTCATGCTTGCCTTAAAAAAAAAAAAAAATAATAAGCAAGTAACAGACTAGGAGAAAATATCTGCAAACTATATATCCAACAAAGGACTTAAAATTTTTAAAATAGGCCAGGCCCAGTGGCTCATGCCTGTACTCCTAGTACTTTGGGAGGCTGGGGCAAGAGGATCCTTTAGGCCCAGGAGTTGGAGGTTGCAATGAGCTATGATGACACCACCGCACTCTAGTCTGGTGATAGAAAGAGACCATATCTCAAAAAAAAGGCAACCCCCCCCAAAAAAAACCCTAAGCCTACTTTATCACATACACAAAAAAGCACAGATGTGCTTAGGTGACATGCAATGGCTTGGACTGACTACACTGTACACCATATAGATTGATTTGAATGACAAATAGAATGACACTATTACAGACACTGCTGGTTTCCTATCTCACATCCATGTGAGATTGCCATATCTTCCTTATTAATATTTTAGAACCTCAATTGTGTTTGTGGAAGAAAACATGTCCAGATAAAACATGCAGAACTCTTATCTGTGGCTGTTTACCTTTGTTAGAGAGGTACCACCCCCTTCCTTCTCATCCACCCTTGGTATGTATTAATAGATATACCTAGCAGTGCAGCATCTACGCTGTGACCCGACGACAAAAGCCAATACTAAGGATGGAGGGGAATAAAAAAAGAGGAGGAGCCAGGTTCCTTGATGGCATTCACATGATTCAAGCCATGGAATGCCTGGGTGGACACTTGTTGAGAAAAATAAACCTCTTCCTTGTTTAAGCTATTATTGTGGTGTTCTCTTGTTCACAAAACTTGTAGCATTCAGAGAATTTGGTATCAGATGTGGGATCTCAGGTAACAGTCACCCAACCCATCCCTATGTATTCATTCTAATTTTATGATCCCATTCTTTCCTACTAAGTGCCTTTTAAAAGAGAGTGAGGGCGGG